CACATTCTGTTGGATCACCTTTCTACGGAATGGGTACAAATACAGATCTCTTCCAGTCAGTTGGCCAGGTAGCTGTCTTCCAAATCTCTTGGCACAGCAGAGTGAGTGCCTCTAGCGTGACATCTGTTTGTTGAAACATCTCAATGGGTATTCTGTCAATTCCTGGAGCCTTGTTTTTTGCCACTTCCTTCAGTGCAACTTTCACTTCTTCCTTCAACACCATTGGTTCTTGATCAAATGTCACCTCCTGAAATGGGTGAACATTGACCAATTCTTTTTGGTACAGTGACTCTGTGTATTACTTCATCTTCTTTTGATGTTTCCTGTATCAGTCAATATTTTGCCCATAGCATCTTTCAATATTACATCTCGAGGCTTAAATTTTTCCATCAGTTCTTTCAGCTTGAGAAATTCTGAGCATGTTTTTCCCTTTTGGTTTTCTAACTCCAGGTCTTTGCACATTTCATTATAATAATTGGCTTTGTCTGCTTGAGCTGCTCTTTGAAATCTTCTGTTCAACTCTTTTGCCTTGTGATTTCTTCCATCTATTTGTCTACTCTCTGTTCAAGGACAAATTTCAGAGTCTCTTCTGACATCCATTTTGTTTTTTCTTCCTTTTCTGTCTTTTTAATTACCTTTTGCTTTCTTCATGGATGATGTTCTTGATGTCATCACACAATTTCTCTGGTTTTCAGTCATTGGTGTTCAGTGCATCAAATCTATTCTTTAAGTAGTCTTTAAATTCAGGAGGGTTATAATCAAGGTAATATTTTGGCTCTCATGGACTTCTTTTAATTGCCTTCAGCTTCAACTTGAACTTGCATATGAGCAGTTGATGGTCTGTTCCACAATCAGCTCCTGGCCTGGTTTTGGCTGAAGATATTGAGCTTCTCCATGGTCTCCTGCCACAGAGGCAGTCAATCTGATTCCTCTGTACTCCATTTGGTGAAGTTCATGTGTATAGCCACCATGTGTTGTTGAAAAAAAGTATTTGAAATGAATAAATTGTTGATCTTGCAAAATTCTATCATGTGATCTGCAGTGTTATTTCTGTCACGAAGGCCAAATTTTCCACTCACCGGTGATTCTTACTTGTTTCCAACTTTTGCATTCCAATCACCAGTGATAATTAACACATCTTGATTGCATGTTCTGTCAATTTCAGACTGCAGAAGCTGATACAAATCTTCAATATCCTCATCTTTGGCTTTGGTGGTTGATGCATAAATTTGAATAATAGTAGTATAATTGGTCTGTCTTGTAGGCATATGTATATTATCCTGTCACTAACAGCATTGTACTTCAGACAGATCTTGAAACACTCTTTGTGACAATGAATTCTACACCATTCCTCTTCAATTTGTCATTCCTGGCATAGTAGATCATATGGTTGTCTGATTCAAAATGTCCAAAATTGGTCCATTTCAGCTCACTAATGCTTAGGATATCAATCTTTATGCATTCCATTTCATTTTTGACAACTTCCAATTTTCCTAGATTCATACTTCGTATATTCCATGTTCTGATTACTAATGGATGCTTGTAGTTGTTTCTCCTCAATTTGAGTCATGCCACACCAGCAAATGGAGGTCTCAAAAGCTTCACTTTATCCATATCATTAAGGTTTGTTCTACTCTGATGAGGCAGCTCTTTCCCAGTCCTATTTTGAGTGCCTTCCAACCTAAGGGGCTCATCTTCTGGCACTGTGTTGGACAATATTTTGGGGCTATTTCTAAAGTTATCCAGTAATGTATTGGACAGTGTTTCTCTGCTACTCATAAGTTTTTTTGCTGGCCACTTCTTTGAGAAGTTGATGGCCTCTTCCTTATTCCGAGTCTGTCTCAGTCTGGAAGCTGCATTGTAACCTGTGCACCATGTGCAATCCTGCTGGCATTTGAAACACTGGTGGCACAGTCTCCAGCCTCACAGCAACACTCAAGCCACCACAGTACAACAAACTGACAGACAAGTTCATCTCCCTTGAAACCTCTCCACCCTCCCCTTACCTGGATCCTGCCGCTGTCAACCTTGGCTTTCCTCCTTCCTGCCTTTGGGTGGGGGCATATACTTTGGTATATGTGTGTGTGTGTATAATTTTTTCAGCTTTGTATGATGGGAAACACTTTATTAAAAGTATATGGAGGCATTAAAAATTATCTGGAACCTTATCAAACCATTGTTTTGAAGTTCAGAGTCTCAGCTATACAGTGAAGATGTGAAAGAAAAGGTTGTATACTGTTTTTTCCCTTTGTACCCCCAAATATCTCCATATGTGAGAATATTCCAAACTTTATTCAAAGCCAATAAAAGTTGTCTAGTTCAGAATATAGCTATTTATAGAATGCAATGCAGAATGAATATCCAGTGACTACCATGACTATCTAAGATATTTATACTCAATTTATCAGGCCATTTTCTACTTTTTCCAGTGAAAATATTTGAGCTCTGGTGCTATTTTATAATGAGATAAGAATCACAAGTATTTAGATGACAATATTCGCTCCAATACCCTGGAGATTTTATCCCCAAGTACCTTTGCAGCATTTGTGGCTGGCATAGTACCTCACTGAGAAGATCAGGGAAAGGAAGGAAGTAACTTCACCTTAGTTCTAACTTCACCCATTGGATTTAAGACTGAAGATTACTTTGGTCGTGTCTCTCATGCACACAGTGAGCCTGAGATTTGTAACTACTCAGAAGCTATTTTAAGACTGAAGAAGTACACAGCTGATATTTATAAGACCTGTTCTTGAAAGGTTATTTAAAATCTGAACACATTTTATTTAGCATTGTTTACCCTCTGACATCACTCACCTTTCTCCCCAACTTGGTTCTTCACCCACTGGGCAGTCCTCTTGACATTCTCTGGGTCAGTTACATCCAGAAGCACAGTGTGAAGCCTGTCTGAGGTTTTTGCTTTTAAAGCAGTTAATCCTGATTCGGTCAGACAGGCAGCAATTACACGAAATCCTTTTTTATCGAAAGTTCTGGCTGCCAAGTTTCCAAAGCCAGTGTCACATCCAGTGATGAAAATGTACTTGTCAGCGATGTCTGCAATTTTTAATTGTCTTTTGTAATTCCACAGAAAACCACAGAGGATTAGGAGGATTAACAATAAAAATAACATTTTTTTTTTTTTTTCCTTTCAGGGGCACTCTTTTCTTGTATGACAAAAGTAGATGGTGTCCTGAGTATTCAAAATTAGAAAAAAAAAGGTCAAATTAGAAGAACAAAGACATTAAAACTCAGAATTGATAAACTTCAGATATTTTAATGCATTCTAAGCAGATAAATACAAAGTTAAACAAACAAACAAACAAACAGTAACTCTTACATGGTTGTTTGTAGGAAAGATGGCATTTCATGCTAAATAGCTCCTCTAAAGTAATGCTAAATCTAACCAGGGAGTAGAGAAATTAAATGGTATTCAGAAGAGAGGGAGGGAGGATCTATCTCAAAGTTGACTTAAGTTTTGGGTTGACCTAGGCATTTGGAGTTCTGTGGAATGATAACATTAATCTCACATGTGAACTCAAGTATCCCTAAGATAGACTCTCATAGTAAAATCTAACCTTTGACTACTTCATGAAATCAATGCCCAGAATGGGCTCAAAATCTAACTGTTCTGCTGGACTTCCAATTATTTTCAAAAGGTTGGAAAAAGGAGAGTGTATTTTGTATTACTGCTAAGAAAGTATTTCCAACTTGGTTTTCATTTTCTTAGTTTAGAAAGGTTAATATCTTTCCTCAGAGTAGAGCCGACCTTAATGATATAGATGGAGTAAAGCTTTCAGAACCTCCATTTGCTGATGTGGCATGACTCAAAATGAGAAGAAACAACTGCAAATATTCATTAATAACTGGAACATGGATTGTATGAAGTATGAATATAGGAAAATTGGAAGTTGTCAAAAATGAAATGGAATGCATAAAGATTGATATCCTCGGCATTACTGAGCTGAAGTGGACTGGTTTGGCCATTTTGAATCAGACAACCATATGATCTACTATGCCAGGAATGATAAACTAAAAAGTAATGGTGTGGCATTCTTCATCATAAAGAATGTTTTAAGATCTATCCTGAAGTACAATGCTGTCAGTTATAGGATAATATCCACACACCTACAAGGAAAACCAGTTACTACTACTATTATTCAAATCTACACACCAACCACCAAAGCCAAAGATGAGGAAATTAAAGATTTCTACCAACTTCTGCAGTCTGAATTTGACTGTAGTAAAGATGTGTTGATTATCACTGGTGACTGGAATTGGAAAATATGGCCTTGGTGGTAGAAATAATGCTGGAGAATGCATGATAGAATTGTGCAAGACCAATGACTTATTCATTGCAAATACATTTTTTTTTTTCAATAATGCAAATGGTGGCTATACATGTGGACTTCACCAGAGAGAGTATACAATAATCAGATTGACTATATCTGTGGCAAGAGGCAATTGAAAAGCTCAATATCTTAAGCCAAAACAAGGCCAGGAGCTGATTGTGGAACAGACCATCAACTGCTCACATGGAAGTTCAAGTTGAAGTTGAAGTTAATTAAAAGAAGTCCAGAAGAGCCAAAATATTACCTTGATTATACCCCTCCTCAATTCAGAGACCATCTAAAGAATAGATTTGATCTATTGAACACCAATGACCAAAAACCAGAGGAATTGTGTGATGAAATCAAGAACACCATCCATGAAGAAAGCAAAAGATCATTAAAAAGACAGGAAAGGAAGAAAAAAACAAAATGGATGTCAGAAGAGACTCTGAAACTTGTCCTTGAACAGAGAGTAGCCAAAGCAGATGGAAAAAATCACAAGGCAAAAGAGTTGAACAGAAGATTTCAAAGAACAGCTCTAGCAGACAAAGTCAATTATAATGAAATGTGCAAAGACCTGGAGTTAGAAAACCAAAAGGGAAAAACATGCTCAGCATCTTTCAAGCTGAAAGAACTGACAGAAAAATTTAAGCTTCGAGATGCAATATTGAAAGATTCTATGGGCAAAATATTGACTGATGCAGGAAACATTAAAAGAAGATGGAAGTAATACACAGAGTCACTGTACCAAAAAGAATTGGTCAATGTTCATCCATTTCAGGAGGTGGCATTTGATCAAGAACCCATGGTGTTGAAGGAAGAAGTCAAAGTTGTACTGAAGGAATTGGTGAAGAACAAGTCTCCAGGAATTGATAGATATCCAGTGAGATGTTTCAACAAATGGATGCTGTGCTGGAGGCACTCACTCTGCTGTGCCAAGAGATTTGGAAGACAGCTCCCTGGCCAACTGACTGGAAGAGATCTGTATTTGTACCCATTCTAAAGAAAGGTGATCCCACAGAATGTGGAAATTATTGAACAATATCATTAATGTCACACACAAATAAAATCTCCCTGAAGATTGTTGAATAACAATGGTTGTAGTAGTATACTGACAGAGAACTTCCAGAAATGCAAGCTGGATTCAGAAGAGGACATAAAATGAGGGATATCATTGCTGTGTCAGATGAATCTTGACTGAAAGCAAAGAATACCAGAAAGATGTTTACTTATGTTTTATTGACTACACAAAAGCATTTGGTTGACACAACTTTGCTTGCTGAAAGTGAGGATGACTTGAAGCACTTACTGATGAAGATTGAAGATTAAAGTCTGCAGTATGGATTATATCTCAATATAAAAGAAGCAAAAATCCTCACAACTGGACCAGAAAGCAGCATCATGATAAATGGAGAAAAGACTGAAGTTGTCAAAGACTTCATATTACTTGGTTCTACAATCAACACCAATGGAAGTAGCAGTCAAGACATCAGAAGACATATTGCATTGGGCAAATCTGCTGCAAAAGACCTCTTTCAAGTGCTGAAGAGCAAAGACGTCTCCTTGAAGACTAAGGTGTGTGTGCCTAACCCAAGTCATGGTATTTTTCAATCGCCTCTTATGCATGTGAGAGCTGGACAATGAAGAAGGAAGACTGAAAAGTTGATGCTTTTGAGTTGCGGTGTTGGCAAAGAATACTGAGAGTACCATGGACTGCTAAAAGAACTAACAAATCTGTCCTGGAAGAAGTGCAGCTGGAATGCTTCTTGGAAGCGTGAATGGCCAGACTTTGTCTCACCTACTTTGGTCATTTTGTCAGAAGGACCCATTCCCTGGAGAAGGATATCATGTTGGGTAAAAATGGAGGGTCAATGAAAAGGGGAGGGCCATCAACAAGATGAATTGACACAGTGGCTGCAATGACAGGCTCAGGTATAGCAGGGATCATGAGGCTGGTAGAGGACCAGACAGTGGTTCATTCTGTTGTCCACAGGGTGGCTATGAGTTGGAGACAATGAGACGGCACCTAATAACAACAACATCATCTTTCAACCTAACTCTGAGATCATTGTAACTCAATGGGGATAGTAACAAGATGTGAGTCCACTATTGTGTGCACCAAGGGAAGATGACAACAATGGAAAGACATTAAGAAAAGTATGATGGTCAAGGCACAATATCCCAAGCTGGAATCCAGAATCTTCAGATTCTATCCTCTCTGGGCATTATGAGAAAACGATTACATGTACAGAGCACAAAATAAAGCAAACTGACAAAATTGTTGCTTGGCAACAATTGGTCGCTCTTGGTATGGAGCAAAGAGGAATGGAGAAAACCAAAGAAGCATGAAAACAATTAGTCCATGGGACTAGTGGACCATGTGAACCTCAGGCTACATGACTGTGAGATCAGAACTAGATGGTCCCCATCTACCAGTGTTAACCACTCAGAAAGAGATCAGTGTAGGAGATCCTGGATAGAGCAGGAGAAAAAACTCAAAATCATAAAAAAAGAAACCCCAGGATTACTGGTTTCATAGAGACTGACGAAACCCCTGAGACTATAGCCCCTAGTTACCCTTTGGGCCTGGAATTGAACTTACTCCCATAGCTTCCAGGCATATAAACTCAACATTTATATTAGGTAGGTACACTCTTAGAACAATTAACCATGGGAGATCAGAAGGACAGTATTTGCATAGGAAGTTAGCTCAGAGGGCAGGAATGTATAGGAAAGAAGGACACAGGGAAAAGGTAACCACAGGGAGGAAGTGGAAAGAGATCTGTTACATGATGGGGATTGCGATCAATGTCATGAGACAAAATGTGTTTGAGTTGTTGCATGGAAAATTAATTTACTCTGTAAACTTTCACCCACATCACAATAATAATATGAAAAAAGCTGTGATGCTTGACCACAAGTTCTACAAAAGCACCTAGAAAACTAATGCTGTCATTAGTTAATGGAGGCAGCTTTGGTGCTAAAATCAAGTGGTGAAGAGCTCCCTTTCTCCTTTCCTCAAAAGTCGGCATGTGCATTTTCATCCAGCATATGTCACTCTGGCCATGGGGTATGGGTGGCTTGGAAAGAACTGTAGGAAGTGAACAGTAGCCAGAGAGCATTTGCCAAGTGTGTGCTTAGGCTATGCACCTGAGGTTGCCTTACTCTCCCCATCCTTGTGACTTAAAACTCAAAAAATTTGTGACTTGGTCTTCCCTAACTTACAGACAAGGTGATCCAATAGAATGTGGAAATTATTGAACAATATAATTAATATCACACACAAATAAAATTTTCCTGAAGATAATTTAAAAATTGTTGCAGCAATACATTGACAGAGAACATTCAGAATTTCAAGCTGGATTTAGAAGCGGATTTAGAATGAGGGATGTCATTGCTGATGTCCAATGGATCATGGCTGAAAGCAAAGAATACCAGAAAGATGTTTACCTGTGTTTTATTGACAATGCAAAAGTATTCAATTATGTGGATCATAACAAATTATGGATAACATTTCAAAGAATGGGAATTCCAGAACACTTAATTGTGCTCATGAGGAACCTGTACATAGACTAAGAGGATGTTTTTCAAACAGAACAAGAGGATACTGAATGGTTCAAAATCAGGAAGAATGTGTGTCATGGTTGTTTCCTTTCACCATACTTATTTAATTTGTATGCTGACCAAATAATCTGAGAAGCTGGACTATATGAGAAGAACATAGTATCAGGACTGGAAGAAGACTAATTAACGACCCGTGATATGCAGATGACGCAACTGGCTTGCTGACAGTGAAGATGACTTGAAGCATTTACTGATGAAGATCAAAGACTACAGCCTTCAGTATGGATTACACCTCAAC